ACCTGATGTCATGGAGTTTGGCTACCGCTGTCCCTTTAAAAATGCTCCTTCGATAGGCAGAAGTGGAAGATGAAGTCCAGCCTCAACACGACAAGATTAACCCTCTGTCCACAAAGAGTAGCAGGCTTTGGGCCGGTGCCCAATCCCAGAGATACGACTGCAAACCGAACTGCAGCAGTAGAAAAAGATTGTCCCAGAAAACAGGTCATTTGAGAGATACTTCCAGAATATTGAAGAGGCAGTGTTCACCGATCACATGCCTGGCTGTTTTTGGTGTGTCCCATTTGGATAGGTTACCTCTCAGTGAAGTATGCCCCATCGGCCTATCTGTGGATCTGGCTATTCATTTGGGATGACTATCTAGAAAAGTAGAACTGGAAAACACAAAGCCCTTCAGTGGTTTTAGAAGATGCTATTTACTTGTTAAGTGTAGCTTGTTATTCTTGGCAGGCATTACTTATTTTTTTTTTAATGCTGGACATTTAATTATGGTCATTTTTCTCACTTGCTCCTGCACACAGTTGAGAATAAGGGCACAATACTAATCATAAAGAAGTTAAAGCAATTTGATCCAGAGATACATATTACATGTTTCTATCTATTGTAATTATTGGCATTTCTGTTATCTAGGAAATATTAATAAACCAATATAAGTAGTTGTTATATACTTTATCACCAAAGGAATAGGGAAGGTGTACTGGAAATGTAATTTCACTGCTAATGACTTAGGAGATAGTTTAACGTTTAAATGCAAATTTCCATTTATTGGGGCGGTGGGGGGGGGGGGGGGGTGAATGAATACAAATTAAATACTTGCCGGTTCACGTCCCTTAGGTTCCTACAACCCTGCTCAGTGTTAAAAGTCAAAGTCAGTTTCTTCAGCCACGAGAAAAGACTTTTAATGGCAGGAGAATTTAGTTAAAATTGAAAGCACATTAAATAAACAGAAATTATTTGCCAGAGATATTATATAACAAACCGCAAAAATTCCACATGAAATCTACTGAAAAATCTGAAACTAAAAGGATTTATGTTTTAGTAACATAAATCTATTATATAATACCCAAACTATGCAAAAAGCAGCCAATACTGCTTTGCATTTTATACTGCATATGAGAACGACTTTTGTTTAGCATTTTTTCGTTTGTTTTGTTGTTTTTCACTATTCTGGAAATGCGTGCTGCATCACTTATCTGCACAGAAAGGAGACCAGTAGTATCACTAGCACAAGATGCCTTAGATGACTGTCACACAGATTCCTGATATACTACTAGGCTTTGGAGTGCAATTGCTAAGGAAATCTGTTGGGAATGCAGAGATGTTATCCTAAAAAGTTGTTGAGAGAGTGGGGTGTCAAAGGCAGATGATTTTCACTGTGGAAAATTACATGGCATTGCAACTGCAAAAAAAAGATTGGTGTGCAATATTAGACATTAAATCAATGCAAAAAATACTGTTCTAGATAAAGATAGCGCTCACCAAATGATTTGCTATCTAATTTACTGCAAAAGTGAATGCTGAACATGTCAGGACTACCTAGATATAAAGCAGAATGATATTCTGCCCTGTTAATTAAATGTCTCTGACTGCCAGAATAGATACATTCTTGCAATTTAAATTGTGAAGATTGCTTAGGTAAACATATGTATTTAACAAATAATAATAGCTCATTTACAATAACTGCATTGCACATTCACTCTTCTTTGTTTAATGTTTAATCTTTCATGAGAATGTATTATGCAAAGCCAGAAGCGATTTATGGAAATCATAGTGAGCTGAAAAGAGATGTTTATATATATTACCAGTGCAGCCTCATAACTTCTGGGGTTGTGGGTTTAATTCCTGCTTGCAGCTCGGGATGTGTATGGGGTTGGTCCCCGCCATGTCTGTGCAGGTTTCTTTTAGGCACCCCAGTTGTGTGCATAACCCTGTAGACTGTTTAGAGGATAAATGGATGGAAGATGGACGAATTGATATGTATTATTAAATGCACAATAATGAACAGCTTTAGTGTAAATTTTATTTGCCTTAATTATGTGATGAGATCTAAATACTATTCGTAGCTGGCACCTGTGTGGTGCGTCAGCGATTGTACTGGACAATTCAATTTTGCAATCATTACTGCTGAGAACTGATAACCATAAAACAACACAGCTCATTGACTTTATCCTACCTGAGAATGTAAACAAACAAAAAACAGTGTTGTCCTTGGATAAAGTCATAAGCTTGTACACAGTATTCTGTCTACCATCGCTCCTGCTTTCTCCACTCACAGCACGTACACTCAAGCATTACAGCTGGTGTCACTCAATGTGGACAAAACTGAATGCAAAGTGAGAAACTCGGAGGGTCTGGGCAGAAAAACAAATCCAGCCACAAAGATACATTAATGTGAATGGCTACATTAGGGATTCACAGGTTAGTGCTCACAGAAGTTAATACTATTACTATGTATTGTTTACATATGTCTGTAAGCATATGCAACTGGGTATTAAAATACTGTGTGGATGCTAGTAAAATGTAGCCGAAATACTCCTACCGAATTGGAGAATTTATTGAATTATAAGCATCATTTTAATTTGAGCTGACTGGCACAGTTAAGTACAGTATGATACCTTCTATTCACTTAGAGGTTAAATGAAACATGAAATTTAGCCCAGAGGGAAATTTTATACACACACACACACACACATATATATATATATATATATATATATATATATATATATATATA